AAGACCTCCAGCTTGTCTCACAGCAACGCTCATAACAATTCTTTACACTCATAGTTGCCTGGTGTCTCTCTGTTGGTGTCTCTTCTAACAGTTGTTTGCCCTCACTTGCATATGGACAGAGGACGAGATGAGGAGATGGGCACTGGAACAAAATGACAGACTGTGTTACGATGCACACATGCACTGCAGGCACTCTTGTCTGGCACCTCTAGGCCCTTTTGGGACATTGGGGCTTTGGGGGTTTATGAAAAGGGCGATCAACCATCGTTTCTGGAGCGGGCCGCAGCAACACACCACCTTTGTGTTGGTAGTTGGCTGTTGGGGGTATTTTTGTAGACGTCACGGCTCGTTTATTGGCCCGGGGCTGTGTTCGTTTTTATTTTCCGCGCTTATCTGTCAATGACCATAGCTGCAACTTGCGAGCGAAAGGTAACTTGTTGCTGCGGCTATTCCATACACTTGTCATATCTTCATGTCGATGGAACAAATTAGAAAAACCATACAAGAAGAAGAAGAAAAGAAAAGACAAAAGAGAATTAACCAGGAGTCGAGGTTGTCCACAAGAGAGACAAGCACGCCATGGAGAGGAACACAACACACCGAGTACGTGCTTCCTGCCAGCTGTCTCTTCGTATTGAACCACCAGGCAGAGGTGCGTACCCGGCCATGCATGCAATAGAATCATGCAGTGCCATGGCGAGGGCATGCAGACATCCGCTTCCCCTCGACCTATTCTTTCGTTCTTTTTGTTTTCTTTTCGTTTTCCTTTTTTTTCTCTGTGAAATTTCAACGTGGAAACGGACAAGGTGTCAGCGTTCTAGAAAAGCGGTGTATTTTTAATGTCTTCTTCATGACAAATGGACCTGTTGGTGGAAGCAACCTTGTTCATAGCAAACAATCCCAGCATGTATGTACCCAATTCTCGCCTAGCCCTTCAGCTCTTCTCTTGACGGGGGCATAATTGGATTCGACGGCCAGCGACAGCCAACTGACGTGTTCTTGTGCCAGCATGCGCCGTAAGTACTTGTCAAGAGCAAGTTTGACGCACAAAACGTTCGTACACGTATTTGGCTTCCGTGCAGAACACCGAACACCTTGTGCTGCCTGCCATCCCCCCACCTGTCTTGTCCCCTTTGCGTATCACAGCATAGGGAGAGAAGAAGCTGGACAACCGGGAAAAGGGCAGTGCTAGCAGAGAAAGAGCACGGCGTACTTTGACGTTCGATTGCGTTTACTGCGTCATGATACGGATCATGATACGGAGTACATTCGTGAAACAAATTGGCTTTGAAAAAACGTCAGCATTGCCGTTGCGATTCTGGAGCACATTGCAGGCAGAGTAAAATAACAAAGACAGCAAATCTAAGGTCCTACACAGCGAGAAGGAATGGGATATATCTACAATGTACACAACGAATATCTGCCCTTCCGCCGATCCCGTTGGCCTTGCCACTTGTCTGTTTCTTTTCTTTTTTTGTCTTTCTTTTTTTTTCACGGCCGTAAATAGTTCAGCCACCGTTTCACAGCAGGGGTTGTATTTTCCACTCTGTAAGTATCCTAAGTATCCCTCACTTCATCAGTTGTGCCCCCAAAACGCCACCTCAAGTAAACACGCGAGAACGCCCGCCAGAGCAACGGCGTCCGTGGGGGAGAACAGAAAGGATGCCAACACGCTTTCTTACAAGGAAACCATGGCTTTTGTTAAGCGAGGGTGTGCTACCAGGAGCTCTGAAACGATAAAGACTGTCTTCTGGAAACAGTATCAATAGAAACTTTTTGCAAAATTCCGCACGTTTCGGCTTGTCCGGCTGTTCTTTTTGTGTCATATTTTGCATTTCGCGCTTTTCTGTTGAAAGGCCAGTTTGATGGCTTTGACCTTTTGTTTTTTTATTGCTCATCAGCGGTGACTGTAAGCAAGCCCCCTCCCCTATCGACGTTGCTGCCCTGGGTTACAACGTGTAAACCACATCATCTACCAAATCGCCGCTCATGTGCACGGATGCTTCTGTGGCTTGAGGGATTGATTTTGAAAAAAGAAAAGAAAAGAGTAAAGATAGTAGACGTACGACACGCTTGGCGTTGGTGTATCAATGCAGTCTGCTTGTTGTACCCGTTCTCGAGGTGGGTAGTACAAGAAGACTGCGTCCCTGGAGGATGGCCAGGTAATTTAAGGCGGGAAGAAGAAAGAGAGAATGAACGAATCAAGTCAAGAAGAGGAGGCGACGGTAACGGCGCCCCGGACAATTACGAGCCTGATGTGTAAATATGCATCCTGCACTTATCGTGAGGCTGAAACGGACAAAATGGCGAATACGATAAGTTTATGTAAGTCACAAGAGAAATGACGGAGAGAAGGAGTCCAAAATTTCGTGTTTGTAGATTCGAGTCCGTGAATAACTATAGGTCCCATTCCCATCCCAAACCGTGGCCAGCGCCGACCTATAACGCCTACCATGTATAGAAGAAGAGATTGAAGGAAAGAAGGAAAGCAACAAATCTAGGCGATCCCGAGACATAGACGAAAAGGAAACCGTGAAAGTAGAAAAGAAAATGAAAAACGTTTAGAAAATGGGGAAATGATTGACAAAGGCCAAAACACAGTTGCATCTATCATCTATAAGGGTTAATGTGAAGTGGCAGCGTTAGGGAACTGAATCTTAGGACATTGTGAAGTGTAGAAGATAAGGAATAAATAGAGAAACCGGGACGCCTTACCAGAAACGCCCTTGTCCAACTCGCAACCCCTGCCGACGAACGCCAGGAAAGACGTAGATGGAAAGACATTGGGGGAAGAAGAAAATAGGAAACAAAACAAAACCAGCCGATGGACACCGGACTCCATAAACCAGACTCCATACCCATGTACTCCGTAGAAAGCATTCGTGACTTGACAAGCCTTCGTGTCCTGCATGCTGCCGCGAACCTGATGTGTTGTCCATTGTGTGCAGGGGGGAAACGAAATAAAAGGAAGAAGACTTCTGCCCCTGTCTTCAACGCCTTTCTTTTCTCTTCTCTCTTTTCGTCCAGAAGGACCTCGAAGGCGGGCCATCAGTGCATGTCGCAGTCCCGACAGATAAGAGACGGCAAAAGGGAAGGAAAAGAAAAGAAAAGAAAAGCGAAGAGAATTAAGCGTGGAGAAAGGAAGCAGAGGCGGCAGGCTACAGATGAAGCAAGCCACCTCGAATCGTTCTCATTCTCCACCTCCTACGCCCTCCACCACTCATCATCGTCTTCCTCTCCCTCGTCCGCGGCAAACTGCATATGCCGCACCGTCGACGTGGCCTGGACATTGTCGTTGGCCGCTGTGGACAGCGGCGTGTGAACGACGCGGATATGCGTCTTTCCGAAGCTGTTGTTGTTGTTGTCGTCGTCGTCGTCGTCATCATAGCCGTAGTAGGAGTCGTTGCTGTCAAAGCCCTTTTGGTACACGTCGACACGGTCGCAAAACGGCCGATCCGAGAAAATGGTTCGGTCCTCGTCGTCGGCGCCAATGTCCAGGTCTTCGCCCAGCGAGCGATAGCGGGCTTTGCTAGACAGGCGGTTGCCCCCAAAGGGGAAGAGGCGGCGGCCACGGCGCGGCGACGGGCTGCAGTACGTCCGCGGCTGGTCTTGGTTGCAGTCGAGCACGGGGCTGTGGCTCTTGCGGTCCGTCACGTTCATGTGCAGCGCCGACGTGCCCTTTTTGAATGTGGACCGCGTGGTCTTCTTGCAGGCCGACCAGGCGGCGCTGGTGGCCAGCTTGGCGTGGGAAAGCGAGGACGAGACGATGGCCGTCGCTGTCGACGCCGACGAGCCCGAGGACGACGAGTTTGCCGATGAGTTTGCCGACGACCATAAGGAGGGCGACCGGCTGCTGTGGCTTTTGTGACTTTTGCTAGTCGAGCCGGTGCCGGCCGGCTTGAGCATAAAGGATTTCATGGTTGGAGAAGGGTACGAAACAAAGAAATATGCAGTTGAAAGAAAAGATACTGAGCAAAGGCCAAAAGTAGAGGGTCGTGATCGTAGCGTCGTAGAACCGTGGGTTGTAAGATATATCGTAGAGGAGAGTAGCGAAACGAGTGGAAATGCTTGCCTTTGAGCGTGCAAGAAAACGAGTGACTGAAGACGAGAGAATCTTTTAAAATGATAAATGCAGACAGGTGCACAGTCAGAACTGCTCTGGTCTCCTTCTTTTATTCGCCTTAATGCAATCGACATGTCTGCTCTATATATACTTCCATCACGAAACACGCTATACACTCCTTGCCCTCGATTCCGACGTGCTCTTCTCAAACAGGTCGTTAAATCGAAAGGTCTGCATTCCTGCGTTGCCCGCCTCCCATCAAAGCCTTTAAACCATCCTCCGCCTCTTCAAGCACTTTCTCGGCAACGGCCAGCCAGCCGACCCTATGCGCGCGCCATCCAAGACTGTTTTACTCGGCGGTTCTTTGCCTACTTTTGACTGCCATGCTCGTCAGCGCTGCTCACGCGTCTATTGGGTGGATCGAGCTGAGTGTGAATGAGTGGCCCGCTCGTTGGTGAGAATGTGGGAGGCTGCTGCATTCCACAGCGAAAAGGGGTCACTGGGGAAGACGGGGCTGTCCCATTCCACACAGGCGGTCCAGCCTTTGCAGCAGATTTTCGCTGGGCTCCTGTGTGTGGTCGACTGTGATTTTCTGTGTCGACACGCGCACGCTACAAAAGGGCCCAGCTATGAAACGCGAATTGAGGCTATGGGCGATATCGAGTTTCATTCCACGTCTTGACTGCCGCGCGGGAAAATGCAATCGCTTGCGACATGCGACGTAATGCGCCGTCGCGCCGCACCATACGTCGATTAACCAATTCAAGGTGTGCTGGCCAGCCTCTGTCATTGCATTCAATGGCGAGTTGCATGGTTCAATACTAGCCACGTTTTTTAGAACAATTGACTTTATTTCGAAGTAAACCTCAGTGCTCTATTGAAACAACGTAAAACAAATCGGATAGTGTCGGATGTCAGGTCGCATGCCAACTCTCACTCAAAGCGCATCATCGTCGTCGCTGTCCAGTCTACCGCGGCCTCTGGCCGTCCCGTTGTTGCCCCGGGTACCGTCATCTTCGTCCTCGTCGTCGCTCTCTTCCTGCTCGTCGGACATGAACGGCACAAATGTAAAGTGTAGCCACTGCATGTTGTTGCCGCCTCCGTTGCCGCCTGCGCCTCCGCCGGCTCCGGCGCCTGGTCCTGCTGGGCCCGCTCCTCCACTGCCGTGCTCCATCTCCACCATGAACTGCAGACTCAGCACCCCCTGCTCGTCGCCGCGGATGCTCACCTTGCTTGCCAGCCGCATCGCCTCCGTCGCCGACTTGACCAGGTCAAACTTGAAGCTCTGCGACCAGCGCTCGCGCACCGAGATCGACTCGAACAGGCTGCGCCCGCGCGAAAAGTCGACGTTGGCGCTGCCGAGGGGCCCGTGGCTGGACAGCCGGAGGTACGGCTCGCGGGGGGTCACGGTGAGCGTCAGCAGGTTGGGCGACGCGGGCGCAAGTTCGACGAGCGCGTCGAGCAGCCAGCGGGGCTGCATGATCATTTTGAAGACGAGGCTGTCGCGGTCAAAGGGGATGGCCTCGAGTGCCTCGGGCACGTACGTCGCCAAGTTGCACGTCGTCTTCACGGACGCTTCCTCCAGAATGATGCCAAACGGTGCGCCCGCTTCGGCGTACGAGATGCTGCACGTGCCCGGCATGCCCAGGATCTGATGACTGAACGCGTCGGGCGCCTGCTGCCGTCCAGCGCCCGTCGGGCCAGAGCCTGCGCTGCCGCTGTTGTTGCTGTTGTTGCCACCTCGCTGAGTACGATACCCGTCGGGGTCTTGCTTGATCTGCCGCGAAGGTGCATCCGTCACACCAAAGATCTGCAGGGCTTCGAGGAAGGCAGGCAGTGAGATCTGGAACGTTGCTGGGAGCGGCTCGTCATCATCCCCTTCTCCCTCATCATCGTCGTCGTCGCCACCGGCAGCTCTGCCTCCGCGGGGGAGGTGAAGTGAGTATGTTGCAAACATGGAACGGCCAATCGATGCCATGCCTGTCAATGTCAGTAAATGTCGTGCCCCATAAATTCCAATCGTCGTAAGCACGCCTGGACATACCCTGCATGACACGTGTGTGGTCTGCAATGAACTTGATGCCGTCGTCCGAAATCTCCACATGCACCTTGTTGGAGAAACTGACGCAGCGCAGCAGCTGATAGATTGGTCGGGTCGAGGTGGCCATCGCCCGGAAGAGAGGAGGCGCTGGCGTCTCCATTGTAACTGTGGTGTTGTTCGAGCTGTGAAAGAAGAAGTAACAGTGGTCGCTGAACTCAGACGAGACGAGAAATAAAAGCAAGCAAATGCGATATATAAACTAAGATGCCGCAGAAAACGCAAGTGACAGAAAACGAAAGACACGCAAAAATCAGCAACGCCGCTTTATATCAACTAGGACACAGTGTTTTTATTATTTTGTCGGTTGGATATCCTTTCCCTTCTCTTGTATAGCCTGCTGACCGTGTGGATAAGGCTCTGGCCGTTGCTTTTCAAAGATGACTGTCGAAACGTCTACACGTAGACTCCCACCGCACAGAACATGTAGACAACACCGAATCTAGAGGAGAGGATACGTCAGCAGTGAGTCCTAAGCAAGGTAGGGTTACGGAGCCAATCGTCATGTGCTCGAAACGTACGCAACCGCCAACGACGCAGGGAGGCCGAGATAGCTGATGCTGGCGAGTGTCCGGTCTGGAGATTTGTTAGCTGGTGTTGCAGGGCCACAAATCCATCATACTTGGTCAACATACTGAGCAGAAAGCTGCCCGTCAGGCCAAGACCAAGGACCAGCAGTGAGAACCCCACGAGGAACTGGCTTCCCTTGCCGATAGTAGGATTGAAGGGACTGCCTGACGCAGTTTGCCAGAGCTCATGAAGCGAAGAATCCATGTATTTGGATGTGGTGGGTCGCGAGAGGGTATGGAGAGAAGGCGCGTTGAAGAACGTGAGAAGTCGGCCGACGTGGGAGGGCGAATGCGAGGATGATGTTGGGAATGTAAAGTCGAGGTTGAGGTCGAGGTCAATGTGACGAAGCTCGCCAGGGGAAAGAGGCCAATGGTCAATTAGAGCAACGGTAGCTTCAATGCGCGGCGCGGCTTGAATGGGAAAGTACACGTTACGTCCAAAAGTGGATTAGCGCATTTGAGTCCATGTTCCTTCCATTTCGTATTCGTGGAAGTGTTAAAAAGCTCCACGTGATGTGGTTAGTCATGCAACCGTTGAGGGGCGTTGCTCTCTACGCCACCCAGCTGTATCTTTCATTTTCACAAGCTTTAACCGCAATGTCAGAAATCAGGCGCTCAACCGCCATCAGTTCCGACACAACCAACCATGGAGTCATCAGAATTAGAGACGGCAGACACCGTCCCCAACGTGGAAGAGAGTATGAGCACAAACTGATTGTCATTCCGTCCCTCTTTCCCTCACTTGCTGATCATTGAGTCGTTTTAGATGCCAAGCGCAAAGCAAGCGAAGCACCGACGTCACCGTCCGAAGCAAAGCGGATCAAGCGCAGCGACTCGACCGAAGCGGCTGGTGTGAACGAGGTGGCCGACTCGATTGAGTCCGCAGCAGACTCGAAAGCAAAGTTCGCCGACAACGACGACGACGACGACGACGACGACAGCAATGATGCACCAAAGTCCGAAGTCGAGAACGGCGCTGATACCAGCGCTCTGGCCGGTGACGAGGCCATGGACACCGACGAGCAGAAAGAGGACGGCGATGCGGCCGATAAGGATGGCGACGACACAAACGAAGACGACAAGATAGACGCCACCGCAGACGACGGCGACAGCACAGAAAAGAAACCGCCCGCACCGGTCGAGATGAAGCCCATCCCGTTCCCCGAAAAGCCCGCCGTCATCGAAGAACGCAACGGCGAGATCGAGTTCCGCGTTGTCAACAACGATGGCGCCAAGGATAGCTTTATTATCCTGACGGGTCTCAAGTGCATCTTCCAAAAGCAGCTGCCGAAAATGCCCAAAGACTACATTGCGCGCCTTGTGTACGACCGCACCCACTTGTCGATTGCCATTGTCAAGAAGCCGCTCGAGGTCGTCGGCGGCATCACGTACCGCCCCTTTCGCGATCGCAAGTTTGCTGAAATCGTCTTTTGCGCCATCTCGTCCGACCAGCAGGTCAAGGGCTACGGCGCGCACCTCATGTCGCACCTCAAGGACTACGTCAAAGCCACGAGTCCTGTGATGCACTTTCTGACCTACGCCGACAACTATGCTATTGGCTACTTCAAGAAGCAAGGGTTCACGAAAGAGGTGACGCTCGACCGGTCCATTTGGATGGGCTACATCAAAGACTACGAGGGCGGCACGATTATGCAGTGCACGATGCTGCCGCGGATCCGGTACCTCGAAATGGGCCGCATGATGCTGAAGCAGCGCGAATGCGTGCAGGCCAAGGTCCGCGCCTTCTCGCGGTCGCACATTGTGCACCAGCCGCCCAAAGAGTGGAAGCCGGGGCCGGACGGTGTACGGCCCATCGACCCACTGACGGTCGACGCGATCCGCGCGTCCGGGTGGTCGCCCGACATGGACGAGCTGGCGCGGCAGCCGCGGCATGGCCCCAACTACAACCAGCTGCTGCACCTGCTCAACGACCTGCAGAACCACCAGAGCGCGTGGCCGTTCTTGGTCCCGGTCAGCCGCGACGATGTCGCCGACTACTACGACGTGATCAAGGAGCCCATGGACCTGAGCACAATGGAGTCCAAGCTGGAAGCCGACCAGTACGCCACGCCCGAGGACTTTATCCACGACGCCAAGCTCATCTTCAACAACTGCCGCAAGTACAACAGCGAGAACACGCCCTACACCAAGTCGGCCAACAAGCTGGAGAAGTTTATGTGGCAGCAGATCAAAGCCATTCCGGAATGGTCCCATCTGGATCCGTAATTGTCCTGTGCTGTTTGCTTCCCCCACTCTTCTTTTTTTTTCTGTACATTATTCTTTCCTTTTTGCCTTTGTTTCTTTTGCATACGGGCATGTTCTGAGCGCGCGTTGTTTAATTATCATTTACTACTTTGCATCACTGCGCGGTCATCAAATCGGGAGAACGAGGCTTTATACCCAGCCGTGTAAGGAGACACATGTGCATGGCCGCATCATTTTGGTGGGATGGGTGGATGGATAGGATAGGCGGCGTTTTACTAGGCTGGCATTTTGCATTTTGTAACATTTCAACCCAAAAATATGAAAATAGAATCCAAACTATACAAAGCAGCATGCACGAAAACCCTACAACACTGCTTCACCTGACGATGTCGTAGACAATGTTGAACAAAATGCAATTTCAAAGCTAATTTTTCCTCTTGGAATGACAAAACCAGAATCCAGAAGTGTGCTATCCAAGGTGCAAAGGAACACCGCACGGCAGAAAAAAAGAATAGGATAACCTTAAAGCAAAATCCAACGGGACAAAGAGAGGACATGCAAAGAACCTGAGAGGGATAATGGTTGGCGTTTATCAAAGATCCGTGTACAACAAAGATAAACAACAATGGGGAATAAGAGGCATGCGAGTGAGCAAAAAGAGGAGTAAGTCAAACCCGGATAAAACGAGGCCGTTGAGTTAAAAGAAGGGAAATACAAAACTCCATGCTGAAAACAATGAGACTGACATTCAAGGCAGTTCTGGTGAAAACCAACGCCAGGGCCCCCAAGTAAAACGAAAATGGGCCAGTGGATAAGTCCTAAAGGGATAGAAAATCACAAGGGGAATCTAACGACTGAGTGTTCACGAATGCAAGACAAAAGAAACAAGAGTAAGAAAGATAGTTGAGGCCTCGTCGACAAGGTGCACCGTGCACCTTCGGCTCACTGGCCTGGAAGCCGCAAATCAGAATATGTCCGACGCCACGATGTGGTTCTCTCACGGGCCCTACCCGATGACGTCGAGGAGGCGGCGTCGGCAGAAGTACCTGTGGGCAGGGTTTCCATACGGTCGGGCATCTCGTCCGCGTAAGCTTCAGCCTCGACCGTCTGACGCAAAACGTCGTGAAGAAATTCGGGGATCTCGCTCCAATTTCCTTGCCGCGCCGAGTCAAGAATCTCCGATGGAACAATGTTGGAGTACGACAGCTGGTTGCCGTGAGTGGCACTTGTGTCGGGCGCGTTCGGGCTGGTGCTTGGTGCTGTGGAGGCGTGGGCCGTGTACCGCGAGTGCACAAACGGCAGGTCGGTGTGCTGGGCCACCATATTAAGGTTTCCAGTTTCAAGGGCGTTTTTAAGCCATTGCTCCCAGTCCTCGTCCAGTGGTTGTGAGGTGTCGCCCGCGTTATGGGCGGCCACGCGCTCTCTCAGCCGCTCATTAAGCCGAAGTCCGATACTCTGCGTGACGACACCGTCGTCGCTATCGTCCTGGTTGCCGCTTTCGACGTCATTCATCGCCTCGTCCTGGTCGACGTTTTCGTCCTCGTCCTCGTCCTGGTCATGACTCTGGATTATGGTGAAGCCGGCTACGGCTGGCAGTGCTCCTCGCAGCATGGCGACTTGTGAATGCGAGGGGTCAGTTTCTGGTGCGCTGAGCAGGCATTCGTCAGCTTGCTGCTCTCGTCTCGCGTACACCATGGCCGGGTGCGAGCTGGCAAGCAATGTCATATAGTTGTCGATGCCGTACGGTTGCTCGTCTACCCAGTTCTTGGTCTCGACGTGGCGGTAGTCGGGCATCCCGTCGGCAGCCGTGTCGAGAATGGTGATGTTCTGCTCTTTTTCGTAGCGCTCCTTGGCCCAGCGGGTGCCTTCCCACTTTGTCAGATTTGCAATCTCGGAGGGCGTGAGACGCAGAGCGTCAAAAGCCCGGAAGAGGCGGCGATGCCATGGCCAGCGGCTTAAGCGGATGCGGTGAATCGAGTTGCAGTAGTCGAGACCGGGGTACTTGGCTTCCTGTGTGTCCAGGTGGCCGTAGAAGGAATGGACTTCTTGGCGCACCTCAAAAACAAGAAAGCGAGTAAGTAGGCCAGCGAAGTTGGGCGGGTCGGACGCCTTCGGCCGTGGAAGTATGTACTCGTACACAAGCTGGTCGATCGCAGGGCGCTTCATTGTGTGCGAGACGCGGGGGATGAGGTTGTGTATGGAGTAAGTTGAGTGAGAGAAAGAGAAGTGGCAGAACTGAAAACACAGGATAACAAGAGAAGAAGAACGCAAGAACGAGAAAATAAAGTGACCAAAAAGTGAGGTATCGTTCCTGAACCAAGCAGAAAGGAAATTTCGCGCAGTTGACAGCTGAGTGTCGTATCGTCGTGTGTGTGTATGTGAGGTGTTTGGCCGCAATCCCATCTAATTCAAAGAGCGGTGAATTTTGGAACAGGGCCAAAGCCAGAAAGTCGGAACGCTTTGCGTTTTGCTCGGGTTGCGAGAGTATCGATGGGACTGCAAAGCGATCGCCACTTTTTTTCTTCTTTTGTATCCCTTGCTCGCCCTGCTTTTTGGTTTCGTCGTTTTGCCGTATTTCTGCGTCTCCGTTCCTCTGGTTGGTGGCCAGTGACGCTGTTGCGTGAAGGATGCTGTTTGGCTTGTCCCGGGCAGCCGTGGACACTACTTCGATGGGCTGAGCTAACGCCAACGGAACGGTGTAAGTGCACGCGGGCGTGGAAACCGAGAGCGAAATGGGGCGAGCAGAAAACCAGCAGCTGCGAAATGCGCAACGTTTTCGTTTCTCGTACTCTGTACACCGTATTCTGTAATACTCTGCACAAAGAGAGTGGGGTTGCAAGAGAAAGAGGACGGGCGTTCGGTGTCTGTCTCTGTCACAGGAGGCGTCAGCCAGCCAAGGCTCTTTGGTTAGGCTGCCAGAGCTCGGGCAACGAGCGACAGGTGATGGACGACTAGCGACGGACGAGCGACGAACGCCAGGTGTGTGCAGCTGGTGACCTGGAGCAAAACAATATGTATTGATGTGTTGAGTGTTGATGAGTGACAGAGCGTCTGTTGGCCGTTGGTCCACGAGCGTGCTAACTGGTAAGGCGGCGCAAAAGCCTTATTGTAGCGGCATGGAAATGGCGATGAGTGGTTGTGCAAGTGCGAAGTGAGCGACCTGTTATGATGGGTCGAAGATGGGGGAGATTGGGGAGAGAGAGCGTGTGTGTTAAAATCTCGAGAGTGGGTTGTGTCAAGGTATATAAATACGATCCAAAAAAGAAGCGAAATCCAAAAATGGTCGACAGCGACCAGAGCGTGGCGGAGGCAGATAGAAACACGACGACAACAACAGCAAATGCGCGGCGTGTGTGCGGATGTGACGGGGTTGCGCGGGAGCCTAGGCGAAACTTATAAGACAAGTGACGACACGGCGTCCAGCTTTGGGTTTGGCCTAGGTTTGGCTCGAACCATTCAGTAAGCGGGGGAGGAAGGAGGTCGTGGACAGGAGGCGTGAATGGGCCAGGTAGTCTGAATAGGCTTGCGTGTTATTGTTGTCGCGGCCTTGTTGTCTGGTAGTGTGGCCGGATATGCGATGATGATATTAGCTGTGGCAAACTGAAAGAAGAAGGGGAGAAAAACGAGAGGACGAGACGAAGGAGAAATAGGAGTTACGGCGCAACAAGGACGAGAACCGAATCGAGAAAGAGCATCCTTGTGGAAGATGTGGCATGGGCCCTTTTTGTTGTACCTTTCATGTCGTCCAAGGAAGGAACAAAGGGAGCAAAAGGAAAGACGAGAGCTGGGAGCGGTAACAAAAGAGGAAAGCGCATCTTGGGTCGGTTTCTCAGGCCGGCGGCCTGGGTCAAGTTGGCCCGGCCTGCCCTGGGCCTGGCCTGACATGTTTTTCTTTTTTTGCCCTTTTCATTTTTGCTTCTTTTCCCTTTCCTTTCTACGGACGTTGTGCCCGGCCTGCAGGCCAACGGAAAACTGGATCTGTCGTCCTCTTGTTCCTCTTGCCTTTGTGCCCCCCTCTCATGCTCTGGTTGTCCCTGTCGCTCCTTCCTCGCCCTGCCCCTCGTATGTGGATGCACAAGCTTGGGATGGCGCACACCCCTTGATACGATAGCCTATCAAGTGACTACAGTACAATTACGGCAGGTACGGCAGTACGGGCGGAGAAAAGAGAAGGAGCGAAGCCACACAAAAGAGAAACAGATACATCGGCACGGACACAGTCCACACCACACCGAACGCGCATCTGCAAAGCCATCACAGCTACGACGTCGTCCGCGTTCGTCTCTTTCTCCGCTGTCCGTCTGTGGTCACGACTAACGGACTGGCGTGAGTGTTGGCTGGGCGGGACCCGCTGGGCTAAGCATCACGCCGTGTAAGAGGACTGGGGCTAGTAGTGCGAGGAGGGGCAGAAGAAGAGCGGCAGCCAAGGTGATAAGTTACGAGTTGGGAAGGAGTGACCGACAGACAAGGGAACAACGAACCAAATCGCCCATTCTAAGAAATAAGGAAAGTAAGGAAGAGAGAAAGAGCACAAAATAAAGGGGGGGGAAAGAAGACGAAGAAGGATGGCCTGAGCCACCCAGTTTATTATCGGAGATACATGACAGAGACATGTCACAATGTCACAAAGAGGATGGGATGCAATCACGAAGTGGGAGAAGAGTGAAAGAAATGGAGCAAACGACCCAGGACCGCCACACCCACCAACTGGCCCCCACAGCTCCCTGCACTCTTCTTTTCTTTCTCTTTTCACGTTTGGATCCCTCGCTGTGTGTCTTCATTCGGCCCAAGAAGGTTACAGTGGGGTGCCCAGAGTACGGAATACCATGAATGATATGCAGAAGTGCCCGTCTTACTTTGCTCTCCTGTTTGCGTCTAACAGAAAACGGACGCCGAGGGTCGGGTAACCTTCCATTCAGCTCATACAGTGCACGTCGTGTCTATATTGTATACAGCTGGTGCCCCCTCCGAGATACATTGCCTGCAAGCATGTCGCATCTTCCCAGCCTCCCAAGCATTAGGCCGGCCGGAATGGGTCTCTCGCAGTGAGGAGAAGAGAGGAGAATGGACGTGGTTGGCTGGAACAGGCGCAGCACTCGACTGAGAACGACTGTCGTCGTATGCGGACGAGCAAATCAGAGCTCGCAGCGCGGGTTTCCAGAGTCGGACCTGGTCGCTTGGTCTTGTGGTTTCTTTTTGGGTCTCTCCAGGCGGCCGCATGGTGATAATGTGCGGGTCAAAATGGCAGGATCAAGTCCAGAAGCAAGCCATTGGGTCTTTCACTGGGGTGTTGTCATCCGATGCGCCTTGACGCTTCTTGGAACACTGGCGAACTTCGGCAGCTTGCTGACGAGTCATTCGCAAAAGTATCGGGTGGTGAAGATGGTCAGAATCGAAGAGAACATTTGGAAATTTCCGAACGAAACCGACAAATCGAATGCAATGCGCCCAGCGATTCAATGGTCCACATAAAAGCCAAGTCTACAAAACAACTCATAAGCACTGGCCAGAAAAAGAGACCAGGTGTGGCAATCAAAATCAAAGGAATGGCCCCCAATCTTGGCCTGCTTCGTACGTTCCTCTTGTCCCTTACTTTGCGATCCCATGCCCATGTTGGGTCGCCTGTCTCGGTGGCCTGCTGTTGGTGAGCGACCTGTTGGCGAGGCCCGAGTGAATATGCCAAAAAAAAAAAAAAAAAAAAAAACAAAAGGAACAGGAACAAGAACAGGGCCACCATCGACGGCCTCAAAGCGGCTTTTTTTCTTCTTCTTTTTTCTCTTTCCTTTCATCTGCATGCGCCAAGCTCATGGTGCTAAGATGAGATCTTTTCTGGAAAGATATGCAAGGTGCTGCCATGCGCCCCGCAAACAGAAGGGCTGGCCGGCGATGCATCTCTAAAAAGTGCACATTCCACAAAGCGGCTCTCTGCTTATGCGATCGAGTGGCATGTCTCATCCGCCTCTTTTGTAAGAGTCAAACGCTAAGAAAAATCTACTACGTTTTGACACCGCTGCAATCAATCGTATTGATGAGAGTAAGTATTGTAAAACCAAGAAAGGGGAGGATGCGCTGCGAATATGACAGGCCGGATCGCTTTTTGTTCTTTTCATGCAGGACTTGACAATCAATTCCGGCCGGGTTTTTTTGAATGGCACGGGAGGGGGCTTCATACGGGCCACATTGCATTCCCTGCTCTTTTCATTTTCAGTTCACCCTTCACATGTTGTTCACATTTGTCCGTCCGTGCTTTCGCCCTCCCATTGGCGTGGCCGGATCTGAACACCCTGTCGACTGCTTTTCACGGGGCCGAGCTCACGATCGACCGCCAAAGCGCGTCTGCCTGGGCCCCGGCAGCATGAATGAACTAGAGGACGCGTTTTGCCCGTAACCAAGCAGAGACAGCAGATATATGGCACGCCAGGACGGACCCGGCGGGGGAGTTCGGTGGCTGGCATGTACGTGGCTCAACCAGGCTCCCGGAATTGCTACAAAACAATTGGGCACGGCCTGGATGGTGGCCGCGCAGGCAGGACCGGTGATGTACGAAATCAATACACGCGTTCACAGTGCGTACTGGCCCGGACGGTGCCAGCGCGGGCGGCCCGCGACACGACCAAACAAAAAGTAGACACAGAGCACGGTATCCAATGATGGCATAAAATGAAGCTACCAAGTGTCTGGTAAATTTTGAGAGCGGCTTTACATGTACTAAAAGCCAAAAGAAGTGCGTAATGAAATTTCAAACAAAAAAAGAGTCGTATAGTCATGGATCAAGCTGGCAGAGAAATCAAAAAAGAAAAATACAACGTGTGTTTGTGCCGGGATTCGTATAATCGTAAAGGTGATATGTCCAAGAAGAAGAGTGCAAAGTGCAAAGTGACAAACCAAAAAATAAAATAAAATTTCAACAATCCAAATAACATCATCCAAATGTTCGTAATTTGCCTAGACTAGGCAACAGAGAGACCGAAGCGCGGTCTTTTCAGTGCCAAGTTACCGCTCCCGGTCTATATCTACGGCGCTGATAGGCCGCTTGAGAGGCTCCGACCGCAACGGGTGGCGATCACGCTCTCTGTCTCGGTCTCGGTCCCTGTCGCGGTCACGCCGGCTGCTCCGGTAGTCGCGGTCTCGGTCGTCGTCGCGGTCGCCCCGGTCAAGATCACGGTCCCGCGGCTCTCTGTCCCGGCTTCGGTCCTGGCTTTTCGCTTTTTTCTTCTCCCGTAGTGTATCACGCGATCCGCGGTCAAGTATGTACACTGCATCCCGGTCCCGGTCTCCGCGGTCTCGGTCACGCTCACGGTGGTTCATGTCGCGGTCTCGGCCACGGTCTCGCACATCACGGTCACGATCTCGATCTCGATCTCGATCTCGATCCCGCTCCCGCTCCCGCTCTCGCTCCCGCTCTCGATCACGGTCCCGATCACGGTCCCGATCACGGTCCCGATCACGGTCTTTCTCATGTGACCGATGGCGGCGCTCAACGTGGTCGCCACGGTTGCGATCCCGTTCACGGTCGCGGCGGCCCATAAAGTCTCTGTCGTCGTCTTGATCCCGTCGCAGCGCCCGATCACGGTCGTGCTCGTGATCGCGGTCACGGTCGCGCGGATCCCTGTCCTTGTCTCTTGGGGGCCGTCGATCGCCTCCAACCGACCCATCATCACCTTCATCCGAGTCGTACGACCAGCTCCGGCCCGCGAGGCGTGAACCTTGCAAGCTCTCTTTTGAATACCGAAGTGGAACGGCGCCCAGACCGACGTTGCGGGGCTGTGACCGTGATGCACTGCGCGGCCGCTCTGGTTTCGAGACTGCGCCGAGAATGCCGTTTGGTAGTACGGTCGAGAGCTTATCACGTATGTCGCTTGCGGCACCAAAAAGCCTTGGCCGAGACTCATCGTTGCGATGGGGAGATCGATGTGGTGAACGGCCCTGAGGCGGCATTGGAATACGCTCTTCCGTCCGTCTTCGGTCGGCGCCACTGGACGAGCTCTCCCTCTTGCCCGATGGCATGGACCCCGGCGGGAAGGTGTCGGGGAGGACTGTTGGGCCCTGTGGAGCGTACATCCGGCGCACAGAGATAACAGGCGGATCGTCGGGCCGGCGAGACCGGCGGGCGTTTCTAGCTCTTATGGATGGTAACTCATCGTCGCCGTCGTCGCTTGAGTCACTCGATGAAGAGTGGTGGTGCGGTTGGCTGTGGCGCCGTGGCCGGTGTACATAAGTGCCACCCATATTCATCTGACTTTTAGAGTGGATCGGAGGTGAATGTGTCCGCATCTTGGCTCCGCCAGGCCCAGCAGCTGGCGGGTAGTCTGAGAAGCTCCGTCGGCGTGTGTTGCGCCGGTCATCTTCTGGTGGGGAAAGTCGGACATGCCGAGTCCATTTTGCAGCGGCAGCAGCCGTGGCAAATGTTGCGGCCGCTGTGGCAGCCGCTGACATGCCTGACGGCACATAGCGAGGTGGAGCGTGGTTGAACGAAAACGCTCGCGCATTTAAGTCTCCTGGGTTTTCGGGGCTGCCATGCGGGCTGACGCCCCGTGCTTTCGGCGGGGGAGAGCTCGGCCGGGGGCCTGCTCGAGAACGTGAGTAGTAATACGTGCTCTCGGTAAAGATAGGTTTCGTCGTGGTCTTGGGTGACGGCGGGTCGTCCTTGTCGGCCATGGTAGCTTCACGCTGCAGCTTGTTTGCGCACTGGTCGTGCCATTTCTCGACCTCCGCATCAGGCAAGGAGGGCAAGGCCTCCTTTGGGAGGTCGGTGGGGAACGGCTTCCCGGTGTCCGGGTTCACGAGACCCCATTCTTTCGCGACACGCTGCAGCAATGGCACATGGACGTCAGGGCCAAGCAGCGTCTCAACAGACTGCCAGCGAACGAATCCTTTGGGAGTGAGGGCAGGGATCGAAGGCGGGGCGAAGTCGTCGGCAGTTGGCTGGAGAGAGTGCTGGCAGCCGGTGATCTGCCAGATGAAGGAAATGGACTGGTGCGGTGAGTCGACAAAGAGAGCTATGAGTGACGAGAAGATTAGCTGTAAGTGTTCAGATTGTGTATTCGGAGTGCAGGAGCGCACTTACAATCGTAGTTGTGGCCAACGGCCTTGTAAAAGGCAGCTAGCTTAGGCGGCGACAACGTCTTGTCTGTTTTGTCGCCAATGTTGTCGATCTGGATAAGTGCGCAAAGCTTTGTCAATATGAGCTCCTAGTCCGGTGGTGGTCTAGACTAGCACGCAGCGCTGCAATCACAACAACCAACACAAAACAAAAGGAAGAAGAAGGAGGAGGAGGAGGAGGCAGAGTCTAGGTTTCCTACAATATGCTGGGCCATTGCACGCAAGAACATGTCGAACAACGGCGTCGGCGCCTTGTCGGGCTGGAAGAGGTAGCCATAGTAAGTTTTGGGATCGGGCGGCGCGTCTGGATTCGGCGGCGGTGAGGCGGTCGCCATTATGCAGGGTGCAACAACGGCGGCGTCGGCGACAACGGCAGTGGGGAGGCGCTCGATACGCGATGGGATGACATGGATGTGGAAGAGAAAGAGGAAAACAGAAAAGTGACGGGAGACAGAGAGAGGGGGAGTAGACGAGCAGAAAACGGAAGACCAGCCTGGTGATATTCTATCAAGGACCGAATCAGATAAAAAGGCAGGCGCGGCACAGTCAGCTCATTCGTCGAGTGGTAGGCTGTTGGTCAGATGCAAAATGGAGGCTTGCAGTGCATGCAGGCAGCCACAGCATCTGGTGCTGCGGGAAGGCACCTTGGGGGGCTGGAGGGCATGAGCAACGGATGAAGCAGGCACGAACATGCTGCCCAGGAGGGAAAGAGCGCCCAAGGTTTACGACATGCATGAGAACAAACAAGGCCCCGTTTGTTTCCTTCTCTTTTCAGAAATTCGATGGTAGCAAATCGAAAAAGGGAAAGAAGGCCCAGTAGGCAGAAAAGAGGGTCTGCGAACAGCTGCAAGGATTGAGTGCAAGTTGAGTGTAAGCTGACACGCACGAGGAAGACAGCAGATGGCCAAGCACGACAAACGGCTGAGAAGCACGAGAAAGGTGGGGAAACCGAGTAAGAGAGGGGAAACTGCGCACATATGCCCTGGCCTGACAGGAACGGCACAAGTGATGCAAATGCGCCAAGAACCCATATGGACATAGATTCAGTGCCTGGAAGGTGAGCTACGAGGAACAAGGTTCGAGGAGGCAGGAGGATACACTTTTACACCAAGAAATTGACGATGGGAGGGTGAGGCGAAGATGACATGATGTTTCGTGGTTGGCAGCGGCTGGGCGGTCAGACCAGGCGGTGCGGGAAAACTGCTCTAACAAGTGCCAGTGTCCTGGAGCGGTCCGCTGACGTGTAGTGAATGAATCGCCGCCATACCACCAACTTCAGGAACACATGAGATTTGACTTCATTAGTGCACGCAATATCCCGCGGCAGTGCTAACCCCTTCTGCGACATCAAGTGCGACTAGTGAAGTTGGTAGGCGAGCTGTGGCCGAAAACCGCCTGTTGCTCCACAACCAAGGCAGCTATTGCACGCTTTCTCAGTTGTGTGGCAGTTTGGCAACAGGCCGCAACTGGGGCGGTGAGCAGTTGGAGCAGTTGGCCTCCGACGGCCTCATGTTTGAAGGTTAATGGCTTTGGTAGCCCTCAAGAGTAATACAAATTCTGAGTTCCGCCATTCCTTGTTGTATTTGTGCTTCTTCGGCCATATGACGCGGGATACTACAGGTCATCAGCCAAGAACAGGGATTATCGCAAGGAGAGGTGCTGTACAACTGAAGCATGAAGCTGTGTTCAGGAGACAGTGAGTCTGGTGCAGTGAGACGTATGCATATCCTTCCCCTTTTCCACTCAAGAAACGCGCGTTGTGGAAAGAATATTCCGGAGGCAGCTTCAGGACGCTGCGGAACATATTATCAATATGGTCTACAAAAGCCACCAGTCATCTCCATCTTTCGTCATGTACAAACAGGACGAACACAGCCCCCAATCCCCCTCTCTCTAAAAAAACGCCGAGGTGCAGATCTAGATTCAAAATCCATTCATGGAGCGGGTGTTTCATTCTCAAGCTTCAACAGTTGATAGTGTCTTCCGTCCGGGAAAGTACTGCAGAAAGTGCACAAAAATCTGGATGCCCGTCCCGGGCTTCCGATTGTCCTCCTCCGAGAACTGGAAGACCTTTTCAAACCCTGCCTTGCCGGCAACCCCCAGACTCCCCTTGTTGTAATCCGCTATAATCGCCATCAGGATCTCTTCAACCACCACCGTGTCTGCCGTCACCGTGGACGCCAATGCCGCCGGGCTGTTGGAGCTTTCGTCGACCATCTCCTTGGATCCAGGGCCCGCCTTGGCTGCCAGCTCCGGAGGCAGTGAGGCTCGCGCGACCCGCACCGGTACCGGTGTTGAAGTGCGCGGCAACGCCGAGTACAGCTGCAGAAAACCACGGACAAACTCAGTGGCATAGCCTTTGCCCCAGCACTCCTTGCGGAACATGTAGCCCAACTCGGGCCATCCGAACCCACCGGTGAAATTGTGGACGCCGCCCATGCCGACCAGCTTGTTGTCCCCCGCCTCGCGTAGGCAGATGACGCAGTTGTATGTTTTGGCGTCGCCGGGCGGTAGAAAAGGGGTGAGGCGGTCGCGGGTGAACTCGAGGTCGTCGTCCAAGAGGCCGCGTCTGGTGTTGGCCATGACCTCGGGTTGGGTGCGCAGCTCGTGCAAGGCGGCAAGGTCTTCCTCGACAGGCGGGCGGATGATGAGACGCTCCGTTTCAAAGGCGACGCGCTGGCTGTTGAGCGGCAACGGGAGCGCGGGCAGTGTGGCGAGGACGGTCACCCAGTCCTCAAAGACCTTGGAGCCGTCGGTAACGTGTGTCATTCTGGCAGCTGGTCGGTTTGTTCCGTGCCTATGTCTTCCTCTTGTTTATAGAAAGAATGTCACGTAGCAAAAGGCAACTGCGACGATTTAGACACGAACTCGTTTTCAACTTGCGGAAAATGTGCTTCTAATATGTCGTAGGTTTGGTCATTATTTCAAATAAAATTCCCCGACACGAAGTTGCTTGCTGGGTGGTACTACGTTATGTGAACTCTTTAAAAGTAGACGCTTTATACGTCGCATGTATGTGATGTGGCTGGCAGATCGAGCGTCAAAGGTGCGGTCCAGGCCTCCGCGCTTGCCCGTCTCAGCTTCCTAGTTTGGCAAGTGCCGGCCCCAAACTACGCCCAAGCCAGCGCCGAGTGACTGAATGGAGTGGAAAGTGCAGCCGTTCGCGTGCCTCTGACTCATTTCTTCGCAATATCCCTGCACAATAGGAATATTCATGCATCGGGCGTAATACATCGCCGCACATTGGGCTTGGACATGCCGCGCCGCCCCCATCCGTACGAATAACCCGACCGTGATCGTGGAGTCCGGATGGCATCGTCAGCCCCGGAGCGTCCACCGCCTCATAGTGGCGTCTTGGCTATCGGGTTATCAGCTGAAAAGGGCCGACTTGGAGATGTATTTCTCGACAACAAACGGACTACAAAACACAATCACAGGTTGACAATCCTCATTTTTAAATAGCTTTTTATTGTTTTTATTCGTTTTCACAACTCTCTTGTTTTCCGCCTGTTTCCGCACGGAGACGTCAGGACAGAAAAAAAGAAAGTGAATGCTAAAGAACCATAATGTCCCGTGGCCGAAATAGAGAGAAACACCCTTGAGAAAAACCACCCAATCGCCCAACACAATGTTAACAGCACGTCGTCAAAAACCCAGCTTTTGTTTTCATTGTCGGTGTCCCATTGTCTTTTTGACCTTTTTGTGCTGTAAAAAGAGGTTTGAAATGTTTTATTTTCCTTCCGCTTCAACTTTGACAGTCTTTCGGTGGTTTTGTTTTCAGCCCAAAAACACGCACAACTCCGCCAGGGGTCCGTAAAAGGACAAAAAAGAGAACTAAGATGGAGTAAAAAAAGGGACATGGAAATTTCGAGATACAGTGCTCTCCAACTTTCTTTCTCCCCGTCTCTTCTACGCAAATTAAGCAAACGTGGCAGGGCGCTTTGCGCTGAAAATCTTCTTGGTCGGGATCTTGGGGACGCGGTGGGGCAGGGGGAAGCTCAGGTTCTTGGTGATGAGCTGCTTGATGTATGGGCGCTTGACATCCTCGCCCTTCTCAATCTCGACAACGCGCAGGATGTGGATCGACCGGAAACGGGCGCGGTGGCGGGCGGCCATGTCCGAGTACAGGGACTCGACGGCAGCGGTTCTGGACAGCTCGCGGTACTCCTTGTACATGTTGTGCGTGCCAGACCGCGAGTCGTAACGGAGCCAGATGCCAAAGTTCTTGACCTTCAGGGGGTGCTTCTCGGAGATCTGGTGGAGCGTGTTAGTGCTGTGTCGGGGCGAGTTGTATTGTTGTCACGGCTACGCGGCCATCGCTCCCAGTTGCACATACCTCGTTGACGGCAACGATCTCACCGGTGGCCTTCTTAACCTTCTTCAGGCCGCGAAGGAAGTACCAGAACCGGGACTTGGCAACGACCGTGTTCGGGGCGAAGATGCGCATGCGGTACAGAGCGGGAGACGGGTTGGTCTCGGTCGGCAGATGCCGGCCAATGACCTGGTACTCATGAAGACGGCCTGCAGAGGAGATTGTCAGCAATTCTGTCCTGCACATCACAGCACTGCAACGTTCTATCCAGCTTCTTTCGATTCAGTTCGTCCTTGCACTGCGCGACGGGGCCAACGTTGTGTGGGTGGACAAAGACGGGAAATGACTGTCGTTGTCGAGGAGAGAGGAACGGTTGAGGTGTGAGACTGCTGTCGTTTGACCGAGGAACGGATTCGAGGCAAGGTGCGAATGAGAATTTCGACGTCGGCCATGGCAGTGGTCGCATGACGAAACTCGGATCGCTCCAAATCCGCTCGAATCCTCCACAGATCCATGTCGCGTCGCCAAACTGTCGACAAATCGATCACGGATGCCATCAGGCCCAAATCTCCCGATGGCCAAAATCGTCGACGGCCAAAAACTGCAACGGCATGTTCAAGGTTCCGCCGGCAGTATGTTGCCCTCGTGTCGCCCAGCACGTCCGTCCCGCAATCGTGGCCCCTCTTCAAGTGTTTCCGGGTTCGCTCGTCGATGTTGTCCTTGTCGTCCGTGTCTCCCAACATCTCGTCGTCTCCCGTCGCGGCACAGGGCAAACACAGGTCGGATCGAAAGAAAAAAGCCGTCAAAGAAACGTGCACGTAAGTAGAGGTTTTATAGACTTGTTCTTACCCATCTTTGCAGAGAAAATGGATGTCAGTAAAGATCAAAAAGAGTGTCGTCGTTGATGGGATGGAATGGCAAGGGAAAGGTCCGAGTAGTCTCTCACCTTAAAAATAATTTTCCTAAACGCTTTGGTGTCGTCGAAAATTTGGTGGTCTTGGTTTCCGAGGGAGAGGGGCGTGCCTGTGCAATTTTTTTCCCTTCTTGGGTTTCTCTCTTCTGCAGGGTAAAACCAGACCACAGTGGACCGCCCTTTGGTGGTGTTCATTGGACGCTGCCGAATTTTTCTGGGGCTTGAAAACCATTAGTGGGCGCAAAAGGACAGACAAAGTTGTGCGTCGGACTAACTTATGATCCGTGTCCGGTAAATAAGTGGGTCTAAAAAGAGGCTCATTTCGACTCAGCAAAGCCACTCTAACAGTGGATACCATGCTGATTAAGCTAGCCAATCATGCGCATAAGAGCTCGAAGCTCTAATTGACAGGCGTTGGAAGGTGGGATACACAGTCGTGCACTGTGTTGATGCCCTGTCCTCAAGCTGACTCCAGACGACGCAACTGGCTGAGATCACGGACTACGGATCACAGATTACGAGATACATCAGGGCAATTTCTCGCCAAAGTCGCCAAAATTTAACCTCTTAGCTTGGAGCATTTGCCGGGCAAAGCTACCCATTCACTGCGCCTGAAGACAGTGAGAACATAACAGGCGGCCAGCAGCGATCTGTGAGCTGTAAGCTGTATACAGTCAACATGGACAAGCTATTCCGAGAGTTTGGGCAGGCCATGCAGCGGTACAACGGCAGCGAACTCTCATTAACACTGTCCCCTGTGGCGCCGGCCGACGACCCGTACCGGTTGCGGAACATTTGCAATGGAGCCAACCATCATGATGCCAAGGCTGTGATCAAGCGCAAGATCCAGAACAACAGCGATGGCCTCGGACATGCCGAGGTAATGGGCTGGACGGAGGTGTACTATGCTTACTGGAAGGCATTAGGGCAGATTCTGCTTGTTGAAGACGAGCAAAACGGCCGCGGCAGTGGCCCAGTGTCTACCTGGACGAGGGTATATGAGGCCTGGAAAGATGTGATCAACGCCGTGCACCGCGGCTACACGAACCACGGCTTCGAGGCGTGGACGGTTCCGTGCTTGTACGTCGTGGGCAACCACCTGCGCATCTTTGCCGTGCGGGCCGACGAGGAGCGGGCCAACGCGTCGAGCTCTGCCACTGGCCCGGCATTTGTCGGCGAGGCGGCCTTCCAGGACGATTTTGACGCGGACAGCGAGAAGAACCAGCAGCTCGAGGACTGCGCGCGGCAACTGAACCGGCTGTTCCAGCTGTGTCTGAGCGACCGGACGCAGGACCTGGTCCACTCGCGCAAGTGGGGTATCTACGGGCTCATCAACCTGTTGTTCAAGACGTACTTCAAGCTCAACTCGGCCAGTCTGTCGCGCAACATTCTGCGGGCGCTGACGGCGTATAAGGGCGACATGCCCGGGCTGGACAAGTTTCCCCGGTCGCAGCGAGTGACCTTCAAGTACTACGAGGGTGTCGTATACTTTCTCGAAGAAAACTATGCAGAGGTACGGCGCGCTCTTGGACTTGTGCGCGCCCCAAACCAAGACAATAGCCGAGGCTGACACATTGCAGGCAGAGAAACACCTTACAGAAGCCTACGAGCTATGCTACACGCACGCCACAAGAAACAAAGAGTATGCAGGCGACGGTCCTTTCCCTTCCAGTCGACTTGTTGTCACTAACACCGTGTAGACAAATCCTCACCTACCTCATTCCTTGCCATCTCATCACCTCTCACGCCCTGCCCAGCAAACAACTGCTGGCGCCCTACCCCAAACTCCAGAAACTATTTGGGCCCCTCTCGGCCAGCATAAAGAAGGGCGACCTCGAAGCCTTTAGTCAAGTCCTGCACGACAACGAGGAAGACTTCATCAAGCTGCGCATTTACCTGACGGTCGAACGCGGGCGCGACATTTGCTTGCGCAACCTGCTGCGCAAGGTATTTATTGCGGGTGGCTTCGAGGAGGCCACGGAACCGGGCAAGGCGCCATTGCGCAAGACGCGGGTACCCATTTCGCACTTTACGGCGGGTCTGTGGGCGATGAAGCAGACAGACCTCGATATGGATGAGGTGGAGTGCCTGCTGGCCAATATGATTTACAAGGTTGGTTTATATCACTATCCTCCCTCCGTGTCTCTCGCCCTCTCTCCAACTCTCTTTTTTCAACTCCCATTGTCCGTGCTAACTGTCATCAGAATTTCATGAAAGGCTACATTCACCACGAACGGGGCATTGTCGTGCTGAGCAAGGCTGAAGCTTTCCCTGGGACGGGTGTTTAGACGTGGCGAAACGGTTACTCTATGTTCTTATGGTATATGATTTGCCGAAAAACGAGCTATTTCATGCGGTCCTCGATGTCTTCATACGGCGTTCTATTCTTTCACGTTAATATCCTTTTTATTTGTTTCCCCTGGGCCATTTTCTCATTGCATTATTATAGATGAAGCGAAGCGTATTGGTTTTCTTGCGACGCACCATGACGTTGGTGTATTTGTAGGTGGCTATACTCAATCATATCCATGAATGGTGAAAGATCCAGATGCAAAGACTATGAAACAGTGAGAAGTCCATCTGGGTCAGGTTGTAGTTGAGTGGTTCTATGGGGGCTAGGTGGAATAGGCGACTGGCAGGACGAGTCAATGTGCCGTCACTAAAGGCAGCGTTACAAGACGCGAAAGGCATCACGAGATGGGCTGTCATAATGTTCACGTTATATAAATTTAAGCGTTTAAGGGATAATATAAACCTTTGTTCTGCTCTCCAAAAGCACATGAATAATTAATCAGATACGTTGAATAGAGCTTTAATTTAACATTTATTTTTTGCTGAAGAAAAATCAAATTTACAAAATAGGAGTGAATGAAAAAGTCATTTTATTTATTTGACTTTTACCTTCCATACATTGAAACTTTCTGGATTGTCTCCCTACACCTTGTCTCTACCAGTAACATTTGTTTCCCTTTTTCGTCCACTTCTCGTCCCATCACCCCGTCACATCCGTCGTTCCGTTGTCTCTGGCGCCGTTGTGAATGATGTGAGTACGTGGGCGACAGTGATGACGAAATGGTAAGATGTTGTTGGTCAAGAAGAATAGAGAGGCAACCGTTGACTGACAAAAAGGGAACGTCTGCCCCCAGTATCGAGCATTTGCTTGTTTTCCGTAGGCGGGCCCATTTTATGCAGATAGACCATCACCGCATATGCACGACGAAAAAAGAGTGACAAGCCCTTCCTCATCTGGCCCCTGTTGGGGTTCACATGCCGAGTTGAATGTGTGGTGCTTGTCTTATTTAACATTACACTTTTCATGGTTCTCTTTCCCCATAATTGTTCTTCTTGCTGTCTCCTATCCAGCTGTACCTGAAGGGTTTTCTTCCGAGTCGGGGCTGATTTCTGGCAACGCCATCGTCGGATATTGGAGGGTTCTTTGCCGATCAACAGTTTCCGAAGTAAAAGCTTCCGATGCTCACATCGGGTCTTCTTTCCCACTCTCTCTCTTCTCATTTTATTTTGATTTCATTTTTAGGAAGAAAATACAACATGCCACTGCCGCTCCATGTTGCATAGGGTTTGTTGAATGTTTGTCAAGGCTTGAAGGTGGTGGGCTGCATTCGCACATGCATGATGCCATGCATAAGAGGAGTGCAAAAAAAAAAAAAAAAAAAAAAAAAAAAAACATGACCAAGGAAAATCAGTTCATAAGCAGATAGAATACACAAAAAAGGATGATAAAAAAAGGAAGGGCAATCAAAAGCAAAAACAAAAGCAAAAGCAAAGCAACAACATAGCACTTCCTCATTCCACTCTGCCAATAGAATCACTGAATGAGCCAAGTCTATCGTAAAGAGATGAGTAGAGCATAATGAAATATACCGTCCTATGAGATACTATAACCGTAAACACCACCAGTATGAGCACCTAGCTTCGCGTGTCCAAACCTCCATGCATCTCTCTCCATTAATACAGTCTCTCAGCCTCGGAAACTGCACTGTCATGGGTTGGCGACAGGGGCTCCCAGCCAGAGCGGCACGGTTGTACCGCTTGCTGTGACTGGGCACTGGACGGCCGTGGGTAGTATTGGTGCTGTTGAATGTAGGGTTGGTTCTGTTGGCCCCAGTACTGCTGTGGATTGGGTTGTTGGTGACGGTGTTGCTGCTGCTGCTGTTGTTCTTGGTGGTGGTGGTGATGCTGGTGCTGCTGCTGTGACCGTGGCAGCTGTCTCTGTTGCTGTTGCTGTGAATATTGGAAATACTGCTGCTGTCTTGAGTAGCTATGGCTGTGGCTGTGCCGGCTGTGGTGATGATGCGATGATGACGAAGAGGACGCAGAGCTGCGGTTCGAGTTTGCATGTGAATTCGAGTGTGACGACCGTCTGCCACCGGCTCGAGCAATGACGACGGGTTGGTGTAAGGGGCGCTTGAGAGGTGCCTTGGGCGAGATGGACGAGGATGACGAGGAGCCGTCCGCGGCGGCCAAGGATCGGGCGGCAGCCTGGCGCTCCCACATCTCCATGGACTTGTTGCAGAGGTCGTCAATTTGTTCCTAAGGAGGAGAGCGTGTTAGCGGTGTCGTATGAATACCCGTGGAAGAAGGGACATCACTGACATCTGTCAAGCATTCGCCGGGTGTCGTGATGAGGAAGCCATCTTCGCCCTGGAGGAGACACGTTTGTCAATACCGAGGACTATCTGCTTTGTCCATGAGAAAAAAAAACGACATACGTCTTTTGTGTATGACCTGACTGTGGCATCGGATCCCAAGTAGAACTGGATGTGTGAAGTGATGACTTTTTTGTGAATATCTTTGTGGGGTATCCAGTACTTGTTCATGCCTTGAGAGTAGGAAGGCGGTGAAGAGCAGTCGTAGTTCATAGTAAATCGGTGTAGGAACTAAAAGGAGATGTCGGTTTGAACTGAAAGAAAATGGCAGCAGTTGTATTAAAGTAGGGCAAGGTAGATTAGAGTGACACGAGAGAGTTTCTGGGGCATGCGAGGTCAGCACGGACGGAGGCTTGAGTGAGGAGATGCCTCATTTATATATGCAGATGAGGAGACGAGGAGATGAGAAGATGAGGTGCCGCCTCACGACCACATTTCTGGATCCAGAACTATCCGCAAGGTGAGAAGAACGGTCTAGAATTCGGGAGCCGCGGTTGGAGACAGAAAACAAGTAGTGCCCGACCAGCGCATCCTGAACAATAGCTTCCAGGATGGATCTCTACCATGCTGCGATGTACTGATACACCAAGTGCGGAATCAACCCGTGACGCCAGTTTCCTAGAATTGTTACTGCCGATGCCAACTGCCCCCGATTTACCTCGGGAGTGCCCTTTGGGTTGAAATGACCGGGCTTATAAAGACAGGTACACACCATCCTAAGGACATATCATAATGGCAGCAAAAAGGGGCCTGGAGCTGGGCTCCATTTCATCACGTTCCAACATTATTCGTCGATCAAGGGGGAGAGGGAAGAAAAGGAATAAGGAGAAGGCCGAGCTGGGGCCTCGCCTCGTTTTTTTTCTTGTTTTTTTTTCTGTTTAGATTTTAGTTCACCATACTCTCCTTCACATCGTCCAGCCATTTTTAAACTTTGCATCGGTCTTACCATGACAGAGCCTCTTCATACACAATAATGGGAATGGGTATCAATTTTGTCGTCCCTTTTTCATCGCAAGACGCCTGGTAGTGTGGGCCGCAACATTGCGGCAAAGTACCGCATGCACAACAGCATTGCAGAACCTTGGGCTAATGTTTTGCACAAATGTGACGGATGCTGCCAACTTTTTTTCCTGGCCAACCCGGCCACCATTTACGAAATTACACGATGTCGCAGAGAGCCAATGATGGCTTTTGTTGACGGCTCTTGGGCCACGCTTAGTCCAATGTGTGATGGGACTTTTGAAAATGTGCTTTTGTATGCTTCCATTTCCGCTCAAAACGGCGCTTTTAATTCCGTGTATACGGTGGATTTCCCCATCCACGCAGCCGCTGATGCAGAGCAACAGAGACACGAGGCTGAGGTTCTTGCACATTGTGCAGCCGACTACTTAGCTGAGGCGTAATGTGCGAGAGCGAGATGTGAACATTTTTTGTTCTTTTCTGTTTGTATTTTATTTATTTATTTTAGTTTTGTCTTTGTTTTCCATCCATAAAATTCTATTCCAAGCATCGTTTTCGTAGAATCTTTATGTCGCCTTATTTCTCTGGCCCAGGTCGGGAATTTACTGCCGTATATGCTTTTTCAAGCTTGCCGAGGTGGGTAAATTCTGGCTCCAAGAATGACGTAACTGGCACATTTCTTGCACACGATATACCGTCCTTGGGCGTGAATGCTGGCATTGGACCTACCACAATGTCCTGATCTTGCAGACAACAATAAACTGTACCTCTGGTTTCTTCTCCCCCCACCTTTTTTCTTTTTCTTCTTTTTTTTCATTTTCAGTTGTTTCACTCCTCTTTGCGTATTAGTGGCCGCCTTTCAGGCATCAACAGCGTCAACAGTGGCTCATGACCGTCCACCTTTACCCGGTTTTCATCCAAGTCGCCCTTAAACCGGCAAAGAATCTTTGCTTTGCGAAATCTCGCGACCGTGTGCAGATCGCTTCCAGAAGCAAAGATATGCAGACACACACAGAGACAGAGACGAGACAGACTAGGCCCGTCCTCCCCTCTCCGTGCAACATCGCGATAACACACTAATACGATTTGGCTCGAAGTGGACCTCTTGACCTACTTTTTCCAGCCCACCCCTGTTATTGCCCAGAATCAGGCGAGGCTGCCAGGGATTTTCTAGATTGATTGGGTTTAAACGTCTCCGTTGGGCGGCAAAGCTAACAATCTCACAAACTACGGCATGCGGACATGCGGACATGCGGACATGCGACGCACGGCACTCTGTACCGAGAGCTCGACGGCCGCAATATTGGGTCGGTGAGGCTCACACCACCAGTGCCTTCTGCACTCCACCACACCGACATATGGCGGACGCAATACATACTCGGCACAGTCAGCAAGGTTTCCCCGTCCCCGGTGCTTGTGGAGACGTCTGGACAGCATGTTACACTCTCGCTTGCACTGTACCTCTCGCTTCTTGGCCCAGAGCTGCCGCCTGCCGAAAGGAAGCCCGATCAAGCGAGGGGCGAAATGCCCGAACGCCTGACGTTTCTATTACTATTTTGTCACCCTTGACAGCTCCTCACTGCAACTCCTCACTGGAGGCACTAACGCAGGTCTAAATCGAGGGTCAGGAAGCAACAGGAGTGCTCGTCATGGGTTGTTCG